CTAAATATTTCAAAGCTTCTTCTAAGAAAACTAGGAATGCACAAATATAACAATAGGATTTTTGGAAAAGGATATAGTTTTGTCTTTAATTTGATTATTAGATGATCTAATTAGTGTATGTCGTTACCGAATAATTTCATAAAATGTGAAGGTATGAAAAAATTAATATTTACTATGTTAATTGCAATTATTAAACTAAATATTTCAAATTTTATTGTAAGTAAACAAGGAATATCATAAATAAAACAATAGGCTTTCTAGAAAGGTATAGTTTTGTCTTTATTATAATTATTACATTATTTAAATTTTGTACATGGTTGCCTGATGAAATGCGAAGATATGAAAAATTGCAATAAATATTATAATTGTAATTCTCCTAACAATCCATGATTTGTTTCTCAAAAAAACAAGAAATGAAATGTATTAATAAACTCATACTCTTTATAATCGTTGATGATAATTTCAAAATTTCAACCAAGAAATTAATTTTTTTTCTATATTTTTTTTTTCATGCTGAAAATCAATAAGAATTAAATAAATAAAAAAATAGGAAAAATTATTCTTGTTATATAATATTTTATTGAAATAGATATTTATAGAGATAGATAATAAAGATTATAAAATAAAAATGAAAAATAAATTCGTTCTCATTTTTATTTTATAAATATTTAGTATTAGTTAATTTTGTATGAAATAAACTTAAATTAAATTGGTATAATTAATAGACAGATAATATTTAAAAACTGCAACTTCACAATATATATAAGTACATTGAAATTGCTGCCATCAACAGTCTTAAAATATATATATAAAATTAAATCGTAAACACAAATATAGTTATAAAAATATTTTTTTTTTCTTCTTAATTTACATAAAAATATTTAAAATTAAATCTTAAACAGATATATTATTTTTTGATTTTTCTCGTTTAGTTTTCCTTCTAAACACGTATAATTTTTCCTACAATACGTGTACATAAACTTTTTATAATTTTATTATATTTTTTATATTGACTTAAAATAAAAGATACGGAGCAATTTGATGTAAATCAAATAAATCTTCTACGTCAAAGCTTATTTAAAAGCAAACACACTTAAAAAATGAGGAGTTTAAATGATTGGCCTTATATTTCCGACACTTTGTCATCGGCTTTGTCATCAAATAAAAATGAAATTTTGAATGTACAAAACATGTATAACTACCAGATTTCCAATAGTCACGTTTTGCTATTGACATTTTTATTATACTAATAATGATCTTTAGACGCGATCATTATTATTCATGTCTAAGCGTGGCCTCGGATTTATAGGTGGTTGTGGAGCCCTTTCCTCCTGCTCTTGTAGTTGTTGTGCTCTTTCCTCCTCTACTGGAGGTGGTGGAGCCCTTTCCTCCTGCTCTTGCGGTTGTTGTGCTCTTTCCTCCTCTACTGGAGGTGGTGGAGCCCTTTCCTCCTGCTCTTCTGGTTGTTGTGCTCTTTCCTCCTCTACTGGAGCTGGTGGAGCCCTTTCCTCCTGCACAGGAGGTGGACGTACTGGTGGTAATGGTGGACTTACTGGTGGTACTGCAATCCGTTCTTCGCGTGATGGACGTACTCGGATTGCATTCAAATCCGGCATGTAACTAAAGTTATTGTTTGCGTCACTCTCGAGGTCATAGCGAGCCCTGATATGTCTAAAATATCGTTGGTACGGTGCGTCTCTTTGCCTCCTTGTTGTCTTGAGACGAAAGGATAAAAGAAGGTTAAGCTTGATCAACACGAAGATGAGTTCTACTTACCAGTAATCTTAGTCTACCTTCGGCTTCCATATCTGTTTTAGGTTTTTACACGACATATAGTTCACAAAAAGATTCGACTTGAATTCGTTAACACCGACCGTAAGTATTAGATTTACACTTTTAACACTCTTGTACTTGCAAATTTTGTTAGTATTTTTAAGAAATATATTTATTTATATACTCAACAGAACTCAACTCTGTTTGCAAATTAAGAATAGGATTTTTAGAAAAGGTATAGTTTTATCTTTAATTTGATTATTAGATGATCTAATTAGTGTA